AGAGTGACCGCTCACTGCGACAGAGGGACCGCTCACCGAGACGGAGTGACCGCTCACTGCGACGGAGTGACCGCTCACTGCGACAGAGTGACCGCTCACCGAGACAGAGGGACCGCTCACCGCGACGGAGGGACCGCTCACCGAGACAGAGTGACCGCTCACCGAGACAGAGTGACCCCTCTTCAGGACGGAGTGACCACTCACCGAGATGGAGTGACCGCTACTGAGACAGAGTGACCCCTCGCCGGGACGGAGTGACCCCTCGCCGGGACGGAGTGACACCTCGCCGGGACGGAGTGACACCTCGCCAGGACGGAGTGACCACTCACTGAGACAGAGTGACCACTCACTGAGACAGAGTGACCCCTCACCAAGACAGAGTGACCCCTCGCCACGACAGAGTGACCCCTCGCCAGGACAGTGACCCCTTGCCGGGACGGAGTGACCACTCACCAAGATAGAATGACCCCTCGCCGGGATGGAGTGACCCCTCACTGAGACAGAGTGACCCCTTGCTGGGACGGAGTGACCGCTCACCAGGACAGAGTGACCATTACTCAGTGCCATGTGGTTGCCTCTCAGTATCCACCGATTGTCCACTCTGACTTTTTTCAGGGAAACTGTCTTTGGGTGTAAAAAGCAGCTGTGAATTGCAGCAATTGTGATGAAGAATGATTTACTGACCATCACTTGGAGCTTTGGGTTTGGCAGAATCCCCACAAAACAGGAACGGAGTCTGAGGAACATCAAAATCACCAGAGGCTTGTCCAAATTCATTTTTAATAAATCAGAGAGACAAAGTGATAGGTTAAAAGACAATTTAAAATTACAAAATAAAAAAAATAAAAAATAACCACTGCTTTGTTAAAAGGTGAAGTTAGAGAAAGGGTATTTGTCGTGCCTTCTGGGATGTTCAACAGTAAATTGCCTTAAAATTGCGACCAATGTGTGTGGTGCCATGCAGTCAGTATTGAGGGGGAGGGTCTGTTTGAGGTGAGTACAGGATGAGTCTCAGTAATGCAGCAACCTGGTCTCTGAAGTTCACTCGCTGTCAGACAGGGTTTCATACTGAGCAGAGAGCAGGGGCTCCCTCTCCCAGTGCTCTGGCTGGCCACACACAGGCATCCGAATGGGCATCGAGGGGGGAGCCAGTGATGGTGACAGAATTCCTGATGAGAGTCTTGCTGTCACAGCATTGTACGGAAATGGAGTGGACCCTGCAAACAGAGAGAAAAGCTGAACCTCACAAAGACAATCGCAAACAAAAATCCTCCACTCATTAAACACCACACCATACACCGGCAAGCACCACCTCGCTTTCTTTCATAACATATACTTAACTCTGACAGTGCGACACTCCCTCAGCACTGACCCTCCGACAGTGCGGTGCTCCCTCAGCACTGACCCTCTGACAGTGCCCACTCCCTCAGCACTGACCCTCCAACAGTGCGACGCTCCCTCAGCACTGACCCTCCGACGGTGCGACGCTCCCTCAGCACTGACCCTCCGACAGTGCGGCTCTCCCTCAGCGCTGACCCTCTGAAAGTGCTCCGTCAGTATTGCAGGGACAGTGTAAAATTAGATCAATGATTCTCCTGGTGTGATTGGTCAGTGTGTGTCAGTAGGTGGTTTATGGTTTGTTTAGAGATCCACTTTCTGATCCAGGAGGAGAATCCATTCCTAACCCCTGACAGCCCTGATGTGACAGAACTGAAGTAGATCCTGTGAGAATGGGCCTACTTGAAAATGGAATGAGTAACAAATGTACCGTGTACCATCACACTCTGACCTCATGCTGCACTGTAACCACAGGACCATGGTACTGAAGGTGGGAGCCCCAGACACTGACGTGCCCCCACAGGGACGGTGGAGGAGGGGGTTGGGGGGTGGGGGGTGGGGTTGGGGTTGGAGTGGGTGGTGTGAGGGAGTTTTATGGTGATAGCACTGGATAAATCATTCTGGGTTTAGACGAATGTTCTGGGGATGTGACTTCAAAATCCACCCCAGCTACTGTTGCAATTTAACTTTAATGAATAAACCTGGAACATAAATCTGTCACAGTGACAACTGAACTATCACCAATTGTCAGGAAAACCCATCCGGTTCACTAATGCCCTTCAGGGAAGGAAACTGCCATCCTCACCCGGTTTGGCCTATATGTGACTCCAGATACACAGCAATGTGGTTGGCTTGTGATTCCCCTCTGAAATGGCCGAGCAAGCTGCTCCGTTTGGGGGCAATTAAGGATTGAGGGGTGGGGACAAGAAACACTGGCCTGGCCTGTGAGGTCCCACAGTCCATCATAAAGGCTCATTGTTGTCAGATACAATGCCCTGTGTGCTCAGAGACTCTCTTTTGGTGACAGTGACAGTGATGATGGGTCATGGGGGTCTGTGAATGATGTCACTGTGGCTGTCAGTGGG